TTTCTTAATTTTTTTGGAAAAGTTATAAACCAATATTTTTATTTGATTTTAATTATATAATAATTAAGTTTCGTATTTATATTATTTTCTTGATTTAAATTCAATAACCAATATACACATAAATATCTATCAATTTAAATTCAAGTCTCATTAATAAAAATCTAATAAAAGAACATAGGATAATATAATATAAGGAGGCATACCAGCAATTCCTTTGCCGCGGAAAAATATAGATTCTCGATCTCGGCATTGCGTGTAATCGCGCTGAAATCGCAAGTCTCAGCTCACTTACGCAACGACGCGATGCAAGACGCGCTTTCCTCGGAGCCTGCTCAATAATTTTTATATAAACGGTAACAAGATCCTATTGAGCGGCATAACGAACGGAGTTTCGCGCGCAGTAAAGATAGCACGGAGAACAAGAAACTGCAGTGCCCGGAGGGCTTCTGTATTAAACGCGCGGGCTTCTATTCAAGAAAATTATTGCAGTTCGAGCCGCGTTTCATAGCCGAAGGTGCGTATAGCGCGGCTGTATGCAAAAGATACGATCATCATCTGTTGCTCTGACAAAGTAAAATCGCTGCCGGAAAAATCGCGTAGTTTTATTAACAACATGCACGATATCGCGTTCAAGAATCTGGCCCGCATGATAATCGTACATAAACGTAACATCTCGTTGCTGTTTCTTCTGGGAAAAGCACAAATCAGCTATTGTTTGTAACAGAATGGGATACTATAGATATATCATCAGAAATTTTATAAAAATGAAAGAATTTTTAAATGCATTTATATATTAAAATCGAAAGTCAAAATTTTTTCGAGCCAAAAATTATTTAATTCTTTTATACATCGTGCGTTCTTCTATAAAATTCGATGTAAAACACATTTGACTTGAAACATATTTTTCTCGTTACATGTACGAGTCGATTATCATTATCAGAGCGCAAGGATATTACTTTATCTCACCTAATTTCGACACGTTTAATATTTACCTCTTATCTGCTTCGGTTACTGGGAGGCAAAGTGTGATAAATCATTCTCTCTCGAGAATAAATGATAAACAATTAATTTGACGTATCATCGCGCGCGCATACATATGCTTCCACAGAAAGTGTGCATGTTTAAAAAAACCTGACGAGAGTCTTCAATGTATAATTTCGACATCATCCGTGACCGCAATTTATATCGATCGCGTGAGAAGAGGTCATATAAGTAATCACTAGGCTCGAAAAATTGATTTTGCTTAATGACCCGTGTAAGTCGCGAAGAATTAATTTTCGAACGGTCCCTCGCACATAATCTCGCCGAATTAATTCCAATTACTTGGACGGACCGAACGGGCAATCTCCGAAAACAGGCTTGTCCTCACGGTATCGCGAGTGATACGCTCGGTATCGCGCTAATTGATTTGTAAGAGGCAGAATAATGGGCTTCCAGATGAATCGCCAGAAGTGCAATCGACGCCGACTGGAGGTCGGGTATAACTCCACGCCAGTATTATAATTGCACTTGGCGCATCGAGCCTGTGCAATTACTTTGGCTCTCTTTCACCGCCGCGAAGATCTATGGGACAGTTGACGCACCGCGAAGAAGCGAAGTTGAAGGCCGCCGGCCAGGTCGGACCCGGCAATTACACGCGATTCGCGTAATCGTAAAACGAAACGAACGCCGAGTGCACGCGCATGCTCGTTGTTGTTTTCCTATGCGCGAAACCCCGTTGTCGGCGAGGTAAGCGCGCCGTAAATCAGACATACGACTTGTACAACGAAAAGAGAGGATGGAACGAAGAAAAAGAAGTTTGTTCCCGCCCGAAAGTGCATCTTGCAATTATTATATGGAATACGATAGGAAATTATCCACTTCGAAACATAAAAAGATACATATCTCTAAATATACAAATATATATAATTACGATTTTATATAGGTATGTATTGCATTTAATGCATACCTAATGCATTATATATGTATTTCTGATTTAAGATAATTTTTTTGTTGTTGGACACATATTCCTTTAATATTAATTTCCTTTCGTATTCTTTTTAATATTAATAGGTATACATATAATGTAAGACAGAAATCTGATTCAGATCTGGGAAATTGAACAAAATTGCGATATGAAAATTATGTTGAGAATGTTTCAAAAGAGGCGCACGTTACGTCACAGTTCGCAGGTGCAGTTCAGGCGCAACCTGCGATCTGGCGCATCTAGGGCAGTCAGAAGCGGAGAGCGAGAGGATCGCGCGATAAGGCGACGGCGGCGAAGGAGGACTACGAGGAAGAAGAAGAAGTAGACGAAGTCTCGCGCGAAGCCAGAGAAGGTCAGAGAGGGAAGCGATGGTGGAGGAGGAAAAGGCGAGAGGAACTCGAACGTGAAATGCGTGACGAGGACGGAGGGAAACGGGTACTCTGCGCTCCGCCCCAGGTACACGGCCAACATGGCCGCTGAGGGACGGATTGGCGGAGGCCAGCCACGACGCCAGCTGATGTCGTCGTGACGCCCGCGCTTCACTCAACCAGGTTCAAACTCAACGGACTTCGTTCGCGTTCGTGGCCCCTACGGCACTCCTCCGTTTCGAACGGTCGACGCCCACCCTTCCTCACGTTTTCCCTTCACGTCGCCGCTCCACCGATCTTCTCATCTACTGGAGTTATATCAAAGTTGCACGTGTAGCGCACGCACTCTCCTGGCGCTCCTCGCCTCGGTCGCCGCCGAGTTCCCTGCGCGATTTCGTGCGCCGCGACAATATCGCGATCCGGAGAGCGATACCTCTCGACTCTGACCGGTTGATACTTAATCGATGTCTCTCGCATCTTTCCTGCATACATTGCCATGAATATATTTTAAATCTCGCATAATAAATATAATAAGATAATTTACATAGAGAGTAGACGTGCATTAGAGATAAGGAAGACTATGATTAATAATTCTCGAAAAATTCGATGAATCGAAAGATGAAATGTTATGGCGATATCTGCAGATAAATAAATCTAACTTGATTTACGTATATAAATCTCATGAAATGCTATTACAATTGATATTATTAGTGTAAAAAGAAGAGAAAGCAAAAAAGAGGGGGAGAACCTTCTTGAAATAATTAATAATAATTTTCTAAAACGATATTTTATAACTTTAAATATTTTAGATTTTATGACTTTAAAAAAATAGTAAAACATATATCATCGAGCTAAAATATGATATATTATGGTACTCGTTCGTTTTATCTCGAGAATGCTAAATATTCTAATTTCAAAGCAACGGAACTAATTTGTTTGGCTAATTTTTAGAAACGGCAAATTAGATTAGATAGAGAGTATCGCAAGGGCATCTATTTGCTAAGCAGAAATATAGTGCATTATTAAACTACAGGATGTAGTTTATTCGTCTCATGTATTCGCGTTGCTTTCCAATGCAATCATGGTTACAACTAAGTTGCAGGCCGCGAGGCGTTACAGGAATACTCGAGTGCACGATGCATGACAAATATGCACGTTAATGTAAGGGTACTCTCGCGGATTTATCTTTTGCACTGATGTGCGAAACTCGCTCCCGATAAGTAATTAAACTTCCTAATGCAATTTGCATTCATTTCTTCAACGGGTATTACAGTCAGCAGAAATAGTAATGGGATAAAATCTTACACAACGATTAATTAGTTCGAAGAGAAATGCCAAGGAATTTTAATATTATTTTTACTTGATATATATAAAATTGCATACGGTTATACTTTTTACGTTACTAAAAAGAATTGAATAAAAAATATTTTATGCATTGTATGCACATAAAATAACATCAGATTTCAGATTAAAGTTTTTTTCAAAGTTTTTTGAACTTTCAGATTACACGTAGAAGAAAAGATTCGTAGAAAATGAGAAATCTGAATTATTTAATATTTCTAATCAAATCTAATTTACTGAAAAAATTACGCGCATTACCATATACTTTCTCTTAATTTCAAGTTTAATCTCAGACGAGATTACGACCGCTCTAGGGGATCTCGAGTATCCGGTTTATTAAAAATCTTTTTGGTTTTATATTTAATCTCAGGTAACACATATCTCTCTGGGAAAGAGAATCGAACAAGCGGATTCCCCGAGTGAGCGACGTGCTTGTGAGTCGGCGATTCGTCGCGCTTCTCAGGCGGTAGAAAGCGCACCGGTAAAAAGCTCTCATAATAATTCACGGCCGGTAGACAAGAAAGCGATGAGGGTCGTAAGCATTATATTAGAAAGCTCCGCGCGGTTATATTTGGAAAATGCCGATTGTTATTGCGCGTTGGCTAATGGGCGCCAGTGATGAATGCGCGTGAAACTCAAGTTATATCGCGCGAGAGCGCGAACGAAGAAGTAGAAACGAGCTGCCACCTGTTGATCCTTGGCAGCTCTATTCGATATTTATGCATACGTGACGAAATATCGCTTAAAGTGTACGCGAACGCTCGTAGACATTAGCATAAACTAGTACATGGAATTATGCACGACGACTACCGTCTGTCATATAAATATTGTTTGATTGTTTGATTCTTTGTGATCGAGAAAGAATTTCTATAAAGTTAGGCGTCTCAGTTCTGAGGCCACAATTTTCCTTAAATCGTATAAAATAGCACCAGTAAATCTCTGTAATGTTGAAATATTTCTTTCTTAAAAATCTCTGCTTTTGAATTTAAAACTAAACTTTTAAATTTAATGAAGAAATTATTGAAATATATTTTTTCTGTAAAAACAGAAAACATAAAAAATTATAAAGAAATTATAAAATTTTATGATAAAAAATAAGTTATATCAAACTAACAATAAAATATTGTTGTGTAACTAGAAAAATACTATACTCTTGGAGCTATGTAATTTTATATAAACTAATTTTTTTAATATTTTTATGTAAAAGATTTTACATAAGAAAACCTATTGAACAAAAAAGATAAAATATAAATCAAAAGCAGAGATTTACTAGTGCTGCAAGGGAAATCATCTCCACTAGAGTGCAGCATCTGATTGGTACTCACTTAGCACCCTCTGTGTAGCTCGAAAGCAGTCCGATACTCCAACAGTTATCAGCTTCCTGTAAATAATATTTAAATACATTAGTAATTATATAAAATATTTTCTTTAATTAAATGTGTATATGAATTTATTAATAATTATAATTACCCTTTGTGTAGCTCGAAAGCAGTCCAATACTCCAGCAGTTATCAGCTTCCTGTAAATATTTAAATACATTAGCAATTATATAAAACTTTTATTTTTTATTAAATATAAATATGAATTTAGTGATAATTATAAAATTCAAATATTTATAAATTATCTTCAAATAATATTTTTTCTTTGATTATTAATTTGTAATTCATAAATTATTATCAATAAAATATAAAAATCCACAAATCTATATAAAATTTTGAATCAAGTAAAACCAGAAATAATTAGAGAAATGATTGATAAGTAATATTGTAATATTAATTAGTTCAGATTAAATTTAATGAAGAATTAGAGATTGAGATGTTATTAAAAATTTAATAAAGAATTAGAGATTGAGATATTATTAAAAATATTTTTTTATAATATAATGTAAATATAATGTAAATATAATATAATGTAAATATAATATAAATATAATAAAACGACACATTTATAATTACATATACAATTTAGTATTATTTACTCTAAATTTAAATTAAATCAGCTTTAATTGCATTTTTTAGGCTTTTCGGTGAAAAAAATATGATGAAATATAGAAAGAGGATTGATTGATTTTGAACATACAAAAAATAGGCCAATACTGAAATCGTAATATTAAAATATAAAATTAGTTGTATAAAAAAACAATGCTTCTGTTTTATGAGACACTTCTAATAATTCCTTGAACATTTTTAAATAGCAAGAGATTTAAAAAATATATTTTAAACAATAAAAATCACGAGAAATACAATTTGAAAATTTCACATTTCATGACTGATTGCAATGTGAGGTTCTAGAGCGACATTTATTAAAGAGACATACTACGATCTTAGAACTCAGAATTACATCAGTATCAAAGTACCGGAAGTATATACCTGGAGATCTGGGGATAATCGTACGTCGATCGTGCATCTTCCTTGTTGTTTGACGATGCAAAAACACATCGTAATGGATTGCGATATAGCAGCGAGGAATTTCGGTCGATTTCACTGATACCGCACACTGAAAAAGAAATGCATTATGAGACACTTGCAATAATTTCCTGTACATTTTCAAATAGCAAGATTCGAGAAATAAATTTTTAGACGCAGTAAAAATCCCGAAAAATATGATTAGAATGTGATTTCACAATTCGTTGCAGCATAAGTACTTCGTGACTGATTTTGATGTGAAATATTGCAGAGCAACATTTATTAAAGAGATATATACTACGATTCTTGAAATACCGGAATTATATGTTTGAATTGTATTTTCTATACTTGACATGACATGAGCATATATTTAGACCTTGGAGAGACGATATGCATACCTGGGGATAATCGCGAATCGATCGTATCTCCCTTTTCGTTTGGCGAGAAAAGCACCGAATAACGGATCACAAAATGGCGGGGAGGATTTCGATCGATTTCACTGTAACCGGGGCTTCGATGCCGGATCGTGATAATGGCGTGATACGAACGATTGTGCTAACATAATTATGAAGTCTCGACACTTCGCAAAACACTCGCGATTAGTTTTCGCGTCCGAAATCTACTTTTAGACAACAATAATCGCGAAAAGTACGGAGCAATTACGAATGTGGCTCTTTTGAGCCGCCGTGGCGCGTAACTTGAAGTGCGACGTGTATCAGAGAGCAATTGCGATTCTCGAAATATCGAAGGTGAGTGTATTCGACTAGGCGCGAATAAGTTCGCGCGGATAAGTTCCCGCCATTTTTCGAATTACGCAAATCTAAGAACAATCTTTCTCGTCAATTATTAACTGGATTTATTTTTAATAATAATATTTAAACAAAAAAATTGTTTTACCTACATAACCTATTTTATATGATTTATGCGTTATGCAATATATAATTATTATTATAGTTACTAATTATTATAATAATTATATATAACAATTATAATATAATAATTATTATTATTGATAATAACATTATTATTATATAATATATATAACAGTAGAATATAAATAATAATTATAATTATATATATGTAATATAACAATTATCATTAATAATTATAATATACAATAATATATAATTTAATAATATATAATAATAATATATTATTACATGGAGAGAATATACATAATAAAATTAATAAAACATATTACATCTTATTGTGTTAGATATTAATGTTTTTATTGTGGTAAATATTAATCAGAGATAATCTTATAAAATTCTTCCAATACCATATTGTCTGACGATTATCATGATTTTCAGGATAAATTATATATAACAAATTCCAAGAGAAAATTCTCTGTGTATAATATATATATATATATATATATATATATATATATTGTATAATTATATATATTATATAATAATAATTATTATTAACACTTCTTATAATAATAATTCTTATTATATTATACACAGAGAATTTTCTTTTGGAATTTACACTGAAAATCATGATAATCGTCAGACAATAGTGTATTGGAAGAATTTTATAAGAGTTTCTCTGATTAATATTTACCACAATAAAACATTAATATCTAACACAATAAGATGTAATATGTTCAATTAATTTTACTATGTATATTCTCCCCATGTAATAATATATTATTATTATATATTAAAGTATATATTTTATAATTATTAATTATAATTGTCATATTATTTATAATTATAATTATTATTTATATTCTACTGTTATAATTATACTATATTTTTACAATTATTATTATTATAATATACATATATATATATATATATATATATAGATATTGACAATAGATAACGAATAATGAGCTCCTGTTGTTAAAAGAATTAATTGTTACGAGATAAACATATATTTGACATAAGATAAGCATATAAATCATATACAGTGACCAGCAAAAATAAAAAGCACCTCATCTATATAAGACTGTTTGCTTCATCATTATAAAGAAATATGTTTTAGGTTTTTTCTAACTAAAATTGAAAAATTTTAATTTAATTAAGTGTTTGTAATTAAAAAGGAATTATTTTTTATTTAATACTATATGTATTTCTAAACTGTTCTATATATTTAAGAGTGACGATATGAAAAATTAGTTAAGATATTATATTTTAATTTAAAGAAATAACAATATTATTTTAATTAATAGTTAATATGATTTTCTTTAGTGTTAATAACTTTTTAAAGTCCTCTTATTAATAATACTTAAGACAATTAAATTTGTCAAATATTATCAATTCAGATTCTCTCATGCTAATTGTTGTGCTTCAAATAACTTTATTATTCAAAATCATTCACAGATTTTCGATTGGATTCTATCTTACTATTAATTAAAATATTGTTATTTCTTTAAATTAAAATACTCTATTATCTTAACTGGTTTTTTTTATTTAGTCACTCTTAAATATATTTTATTTTATTGTTTAGAAATAAATAGTAATAGATAAAAAATGATTCATTTTTAATTAAAAAACAGTTAATTAATTTATCAAATTTAATTATAAAAAATTTATAACATATTTTTTTACCTTTATGAAGCAGTCTTCTAGATAAAGTGGCTTTTTACTTTTGCCAATCACTGTATTTAGACCTTGGAGAAGAAGATGTGTACCACACCTAAGGATAATTTTGATTGATTTCACCGACACTGCATGTTGAAAAAGAAATAATTCTCGTTACTTTATGAGACACTTCTAATAATTTTTTTACTTTAAAACTTACTTTAATTTTTTCTTACGTTATTTGAAGCACAATAATTAGCAAGATTGGAGAAATATATTTTTAGACAATAAAAATCCCGAGAAATACGATTTGTATGCAATTTCGAAGCCATCACGGCGCATTTCGTGACTGATTGGGATGCAAAATATTATAAAACATTTATTATAGACGATATACTACGATCCTAGAATAAGTATTGCAGCTACCTGTTTGAATTGCGTTTTCTGTACTTGACATGACATCAGCATATATTTAGACCTTGGAAAGACGATATGCATATCTAGAGATGATAGTGCATCAATTATGCAGTGATACTCTTTTCTTGTTGTTTTCACGAGAAAAACGTAGCGTATCGGATTGCAATATGGTGGGGATGATTTCGATCGATTTCACTGAAAACACCGCACACTGAAAAAGAAGTAATACTTTCGTTACTTTATGAGACACTTCCAATAATTTCTCGTACATTTTTAAATAGCAAGATTGAAGAAATATATTTTTAGGCAGTAAAAATCCTGAAAAATACGGTTTGAATCAACTTCACTTCGTATCTGATCGCAATATGCAAAAAAATATTGTAAAACGACATGTATTAAAGGAGATGTACTACGATCCTTGAAGTACTCGAGTCACCTGCTGCAATGTTCGCTGTTCGAATTATATTTTCTGTACTTACTTGATACTTGACGTGACAGGAGCATATTTAGACTTCGAAGAGACGATATGATATGTACATATACCTGGGACTGATCCTGCATCGATCCACCTCCTTCGTCCTTGAGTAGGAAAACCGGCGTGAAGGTTGCAATATGGCGGGGAGGATTTCGATCGATTCCACTGTAACCGGGACCCCGATGCCGGCTCGCGACATTGACGTGATAAGAACGATCGTGCTAACGCAATCATGAAGCCTCGGCACTTCACGAAATACTCGTGATTAATTTAGTGCCCGAAATCCGCTGATAGACAACAATAATCACACAAAACGAACGGAGCAATTACAAATGCGTCTCTTGTGAGTCGTCGCGACGCGTCACTTGAAGTATGAAGAGTATGATCCATCATGCAGGACAATTGCGATTCTCGAAGTATCGAAATTGGGTGCCCTGCATAGCCGCGAGTTCCCGCCATTTTCAAACTACGCTATTCTCAAAAATCATCAATGCTATCTTGTTTTATCTGTAATAATAATATTTAAACGAAAGATTTTTCAATTATATAATAACCTGTCTTATATATGATAAGTTATACAATTATTGATTAACTATCAATATATTGTACCAACAGTAGATAAGGAAGAAGACAAATTTCTGTGCTAAAAAAAATTCTTTATACGTAATAATAATTGTGCGTAGGATTGCACGAAAACAAAACATATCTATTTACGCCGATTAAAGGAAAAAAGTAATTAATATATTTTGCACAACAAAATGGTGAGCGCTATTGACGGACGCTTGGCGAAGCAACAATCAGCTGACCCCAGGCATCACACAGCAAACAGCACAGATGCGTTGTATATGTCAGGATACGTAAATAACGACGGATAGGTTGTAGTGAGCAACTCGCCTCGGTAAGCAGCAGAAAACAATGGTAGACTTGAAGACAAACGTCAGTTTCGCGTGTCAACGATGTCTACAGCCGCTGAAACTGGACTCGAGTTTCGATCACCTCGGGGAACACACTCTCGCCGAACTCGCACGTAGGTAATTTCCATTTTCTACTGGCAATTTTCGACGTGCATCTTCGAGGAGATTGCTCTGTTCGTTGCTCGCTTTGATAATGCTTCTCTATATATTATATATTTTGCACTAATCGCTTACAATTAACGTATGACACGTTAATTCTCATTGTTACCATCATTGTGAATAATTTAATTTTTCTATAATTAATTAAACAGCAAGCACGAACTCTATTAAGTAGGTACATCTAATGTTGAGGATCTATATGTCAGCACAATATGGCTTTTACAGAGATAGTATATCTAAATTATTATGTTACATGCAATATCACTTAACACGAGCAAGCATAATAACAAGCAATATCAACTTTTACCGTTTATACAATTAGGCTATTATTATATATAAAAATGTTATTTTAGTTAATCTATGTATGTTTTAATTATACATAAATATTATGACGGTATATGTAAAATCATTTTATATAGACAAGTAGACAAAAGTTACATAATTGTTATTTTATTGCAGTTCCTATACAACAGCAAGTTGTCGGAGAATTAGAACCTCACAGTGATAGTATAGAACACTTAGTTCCACCGTTCAGATTAACTGAATCAGGAAATGGTACAAATGGATTTATGTTGGTTGGTGATTCGGGTGAAACAGAAAGCTTAAGTCATCATTTAAAGGTACAAAGATATTTAACAGATACTGTAAATGAATATATTAATACTCTATACATATATAATACTCTATACTATAAATGAATGTGTTAATATATGATCCGATCAATATTTTATAGGTGCGAGCTACATTGTTTGACATTCTCAGCAGTAGCAGTTCTGCAGATCATCCACTTTGCGATGAGTGTACCGATAGTCTTTTGCTGTTAATGGATCAGCAATTGCGAATGACAGAAGGAGAATGGTCAGATTACAATCAGTACCTGAAGAAACTAGAAATTGAACAACAATATCAAGGTCATGAGGATGTGGAGATGGAGAATCTCACAAAAGAATTGCAAGATGTAAAGGCTGAAGAAGAAAGAATGATAAGAGAATTAGAAGCATTGAGGAAAGAGGAAATAGCCACTAAAAATGCCATAGCAGAACAAGAAAGAGAAAAAGAAAGATTACAAAATGAGGAGGACAGGTATTGGAAAGAATATTCAAAACATAAAAGAGATCTCATGTTAGCTGAAGATGAATTACGCAGGTAAATAAAACTTCCTCAAACATTTGTCTTTTTTCATATATAAAAACTAATAATTATTAATATTTGTATTATATTTGAAATATTTTCACAGCCTGGATAATCAACTAGCATACGCATCTTCACAGCTGGAAAGGTTGAAGAAGACAAACGTTTTTAACGCCACATTTCACATTTGGCATTCGGGCCACTTTGGAACCATAAATTCGTTTCGATTAGGACGATTACCGAGCGCGCCAGTAGATTGGAGCGAAATAAACGCTGCGTGGGGACAAACGACTCTTTTGCTAGTAGCGCTGGCACGTAAAATGAATTTAACGTTCAAACGCTTTCGCTTAGTCCCGTTTGGCAATCACAGTTATATCGAAGCATTGGATCAAAACAAAGAGCTTCCACTATACGGAAGCGGAGGATTCAAATTTTTATGGGATACGAAATTTGATGCAGCTATGGTGGCGTTTCTGGATTGTTTGCAACAATTTAAAGAACAAGTGGAAAAAGGAGATAGTGGATTTTGTCTGCCATACAGAATGGATCGTGGTAAAATTGAAGACTCCGCAACAGGCAACTCGTATTCCATTAAGTATGTTTAAGCATCTACAAACGATTATATTACGCCATTTAATTTATATTTAAAAAAATTGCAATTACACAAGATATATTTTATTTTATTTATATATATTAATTATTTCTTAATCTTCTTTTTTTCTCTCTTTCAGGATACAATTCAATTCGGAAGAACAATGGACTAAAGCTTTAAAGTTCCTACTAACAAATTTAAAATGGGGTCTTGCATGGGTTAGCTCTCAATTTACAAAAGATGAACTGAATATTAATTGAATCAGTCCTTGTAAAATTTTGTGTAACTTTAATTATGCAATTATCCCGTACTTGCTTGTGTATAAATGCTCTTTGTAAATAAACGCGGTTGAATGATTCTGATTAACTTAATATTAACTTATAATTAATTTAGAGAAATTATTTTAAAAGTCATTTTTTTTATTTGTGACTAATTTATAGTTCTTTATTTTATTCTAGATAACAGAATGGAATAATTTTTAGTTTTAATCTATCAACAGTATTCAGATTTATTAAATAGAAACCACGACACACCAAAGAGGAAACTGGATGGGCTTTGTACTTCCTTGGAACTTATGTAATCCTTTAATTCTGGAATGCTCAATTCTACTATTTCTATAAGTTCACCTTCAGATTCAGCACCACCACCTTTAATATGAAAAATTTAATTAAATTAGAAAACTTGTGCTTGTACACTTGAAGTTCATTCTTTTTAAAATTATTGTGTGGTAAAAGATCAATGTAACAAGGAATACTTATAATTTGAACTTACCAGGATGTATATGCATATCATCTGTGACTTCTACATAGAAAAGAGTTTGCTTCGCACTAGCAGAAGCACTGGATCTATAAAAAAAAAAGGAATACAATAAATTTATTTACTTTGTGCACTCTATGAATACAATTTCTTACATTCAAGACAAATCATATATAAATTTAAAAAATTAATTGCAAACAATGTAATATATCGACAATTATTGCTTCCAAAGTTGCTGCATTTCTCTTTTATACAAAGATCGGAGACAGTAATTAAACTATGGTAAAAACTTACAAATAAGTATTGATTTCCTTAAATGCCGAAGTGGGTGCTTCGTAGCCACATTCCTCTCTTAACTCATCCCGGGCGATTTCCACGAGAGGTTTGTCCTTGTCCACGATACCAGCGCAGAGCTCCAAGGCCACCCCGAGCCTCGGGGGATAACGTTCGACATCGATCACATCTTGCTTCTCCGGCAGGAATGCGTAATAAACTGCTGGCCGAAATTGCCTGACGAACACGAGCTTCTTTCGACTGACATTGAAGATAACTATAGATACGCTGTCGTGGATCCTTATCACGTCCCACTGCTTACGTTGACTGTCTTGCGTGAACTCCAGACGGACGGTTTTCATCCAGGGCGAGTCATGCGGCACCTTTCCCACCCGGATGTCGCGCAAATCGAGCATCCGTCTACGCACAGTCTCATTCCTCTCGTCCTGTGCCGTGACATTCATTCCTTTGCTGTCAAAATATCGCCGAAATATAACCAAAGTCACCCCGACCAGGCCGATCCCTTAACTCCGGTCGATAAAGAAGACGATTTGGAAACACGACGCGAATCGCGGACGGCAGATGGCGCCACAAGTAACAAAAATTCGAATTTAGCCAAGTAGACGGATTATTGCACATTTCGACGGCGTCCAGTGTTTGCGTGAGTATTACTTTTTGTGAAATTCGGCTCGATTTATTCGGGTTTCGATTAACTGCGTGGAGACTTGTAGGCCTTCGTCTTCTTCGACGTGTTCTTCCATCAATGCGATGGATTTCATTGGTAAGTTGGTAAGTTTCTAACGAAAAATATATTTGATATTTATAACCCAATTTTTTCAAAATGGAACTAAATTCAGTGCATCGCACACACACACACATGTACATAATGGTAGAATTACCTAAAGTTATTGCGAATGATAACATTTTTTGCGTAATAAATCATAAACAATGGACTCTTTTAGAGATTTACTTATTCATATAATAAATGATTTTTGTGAAAATGTGTGTGACTATTATACTATGGTATATATACACACACCCACAGTATATAACGTCTCGCTTTCCGCCATTTTGTTTTGATCAATACATCAACTTTAATACATCGCGATATTAAATTTACGGGGGACGTAATCGCTTCATCTTTCGCCGGCAAATTATTTTCGTAATTAGTTGATTGGGCCTGCGAAAAATACGGGGTACGTATAATCGAGTTTTAACGCGTCGTGTATAAAATTAGGCTCGATGTAAACGCTTTAACTGGCCACACATACACTGTACTTAAACTTTTCGACGAGATACAAACCTCCGATAAAGCCGCTTTCCTTTCGCGATCCGATGCTAGGATAACAAGGGGACCGTGAAGAAGGAGGCAAGAAAGAGGGAGGGAAAAAACAACCGGGGTCTCGTTACTTCCTTCCTTTTTTACCCTTCTTATCCCTCTTCTTAGGCACGTCGACCGTGGACTTGAAGGCGTCCAGGATCTCCTGCTGCCTGACCTGGGTGTCCACGTGGATCACGTCGGGTTTTCTGCGATACCTGTTGACCGCTGCCGGTGGCGAGAACTCGATCTCCATGTCCGACGCCGTGGAGCTCGTCGCGACGGAGGCGTCGTCCTTGTTCCGTGCGATCTTGAACTGGAGCGGCTTCATCGGCTCTTCAAGTTGCGGCTCTGCAGTCTCCTGCCTGATCGGGTACATAGTCACGTAATACGTGCCGTCCTTTCGATGGATATGTAGGGTGGGCGGCGGTTCGACTTCGTCCTCAGCTTCCTTCTTCAACTGCGACACGTAGCTCAGACTCTTGTACAACTTGCCACGTCGTAAGCCGGTGCGCGAGGGTACCAATCTCGGTCGACTATCCTCCATCGGGGGAGCGCCTTTCTTAGCCTCCTTCAGCATTTCGCTCAAATAACGACTTATTGCGCCTGGTTTCCAGCCGATTCGCGGCTTTAGCTTGCCCACTGTCGTGCTCGTGTTCCATAACCAGCCCATATTGGCCGGCACTCGTAATCGCGGATCGATGCAGTTCCTGTGACCGTAATTAGTCCCGGGATAAACGTCGCCAATCGAGTAGATGAAGCGCATCACGCGTTTGCTAATTTTAATCGGACTCTCTCCTCTCGCGACGTCGCGATCCCCAGCTGGACCAGGTAGAGCTTTACTCCTCGGATATTGCTGTTTCGCAATGTATTTACTAACGCCCTTCGTGGTGATCGAGCTCGATAGTGTCACGGACTTCTGCAACTCCTCGATAGTTTCCTCGCGCGGCGGTATCCGATTGTCGCGAACTTTTTTCCGGCGCGATTTGCATTTTGGTTCGCCGCAGGGACCGACGTCGACGTCCGGCGTCACGGTCGTAACATCCAGCTCTTTCTCCTTCTGCTTCTCTAACTTCTCCTCCTTCTTGTCCTCCTTCTTCTTCGGCTTGACGGTGATCGGGACCAGCGTCGCATCCGGTATCGATGGTATCGCTTCCCGGACAACACCGGCGCGTCCTGGGATCGGAATGGAAGAAGCGACGGTTCCGAGCTGCGTGTTGCACGGGGCGGTACATTGTAAATACGGAAATGCCGAGACGGGGGGATACGCTCGTTTTTTCTCGCTTGGTATTTCTTGAACTGAATAATCTTTATCAATTTCTCTTCCGAAATAGGGACTCTCGGACGGATCCATCAAGCCAAGGCCTACCAGACCCGGAACCTTGCCGATGGAGTCCACGAAATCTTGCGCCTCCTTGAAGGCCCGTATCATGCAATCTGCGCCCACGCATGGTTTTTTCGTGCATTGCGAGCTTCTCGGTCTCCAAGACGACATCTCTTGCCCAGGACAAACGTAACGCCCTGCCACCACTGCTCCATCCGCTGTTCTTGGACGTCTGCCCGGTGAGTTGCATGCTTCCTTACTCTTTTCATATGTGACGCTTGTTTCGGAAGCTGCATACGCCGACGCACCATAGTCGCTTCCGCCCTTCATGCGATTTTTAAAATTGATATTGTTGCTGTACCATTCTGTGCATTCCTTGCTCCATAACATTTTGTTATTTAAATTATCGCCTGTGTCTTCGCCACCTCTCATTCTCGTATTGTCAGAATTTGCATCCCGTTCCGCGCCTGATGGTAAATTATCCACGCGATCGTTAAGCGTAGCGAGCGATGAAATGTTTTTGAGAATATCGGGATTTCTCAAAGCCATGCAACAAGAGCGAACGCATCCGGAACGACACATCATAGGATGCGTCGATTGATTTGTCGGTAGACACGAACAAGTAGGCTCGTCCGGATATATCTCGTAAATTAAACCACGATATTTGCGATCATTTAGTTTCTCGGCGCTCGTCAGCTTCTCAAATCCCGGTTCGTTCATTGATACACGAGGCGGCGATTCTGGTCTCGTCAATGCAAAACGCGCATCTGTATCTATATATTTTTCGTCGTGTAATTCCGAATACGCGGGATCGAGAATTTTACTTAATAATGAAAACGTGTTATCCTCGCGTTGCAGTCTATTTTTCTCGTCGTTTATACTTTGATCGGAGAGTCCTGCGCAATGAAACTTCCAACCAAGAGGAAATCCTCGAAACACGAACGACTTCTCGCGAAGCGTAAGATGATTGATAATGGAACTTCCGAAGCACGACAGTCTCAGGTACATCGAGATAGATCCGCAGGGGTATCCTTGCTGGTCGGCCAAGGTGTAAACCTGCATCATCGTGTACGGCTTCGACAATCCGTCTATCTCGGTCTTGGCCGCGATTACGCGATCGCAAAAATATCCCGGCAGAAATTCCGTTGCTATGCAGACAAGAACCTGGCCAGTGTCATCTCGCGAGTTACACTCCTCTTCTCCGCGAAGAATTCGATACACTTCGACGCTCAGAGGAGTCGATTTTATAGATTGTATTAAATTGCTTGGCGGTCGAACGAATAGACACGTCTTGCCCTCGTATTTGACGCATTCGTCGGAGAATCGTTTTTCTTTGTTCTTGATTTTTTTGCCTTCCTCGGCGACGATGTCGACGGATGTGAAATCGATAAAGTTGACACGTATCATTAAATCGCGCTTATTAATAGAATTCTCATAGCATAAACTTAAACAATTAATGAGAATTTCGAGCATGTACAATTGTTCCCTTTCCAACTTTGGCGTTTTTGTCTTCTTTAAGGCCATTTTTCATGGATCGAGCACGGGAATTAATTAGACACACGCGCTGTCGGCGACACGATAAATTTGGAATACGACTCTGAATCGATGTTAATGATGTATGAATCGCGCCATTAATTTTGCGAACCTTTCGGGCCGGAAATCTCTCCCGCGTGCACATTAAACCTCGAATCGATGAAATGACGTTTCCAATTGTCAGACAGTCGCCATAGCGACAAATCAAAATTAATTACTCGACAAATTCAGAGAATTTCAGAAATCGAACATTTTGTTGAAATTCATAGAGATTATTTTCTGCCTTTTTTCTTTTTAGCCTTTTTAACGGTTTTACCCTTTTTAACTCTTTTCTTTCTCTTTTTCTTTTTAATTTTCCGTGGTTTTACGACTTTCGGTGTAATCTCTGCCTTCTCAGGGATTTTGTCGAGAAATTCGGGCGATACGAATCGTATCACATAGATCTCCCGTTCCTTGTCCCGCTCATCGGAAGCGAGAGATTTCGGACGTATCTCGTAATTCGTCTTAAAGACGCGTCCGAGGCACGCGATGACGAGCTCCAGGTACAGCGTCCCCGAGGGATTTTCGCCTGGATCGACAAGGTGAAAACCACCCTTTACTGTAAACGGCGCCGGCTGATTGTCGGGATCGTTGCCGATCATGGCGACCTGGTCGCATAGGCAGCCCGGCAGAATTAAATCGGTCTCCGCCGTAGGATAAGTGTCACCCTTGCGAAACACCCCTATTCTCACTTTCGTCGAACGAAGTTCGCTAACAAGATCCCGCGGTCGCTTGACGAACAGACAGCTTTTGCCAATCAGGAAACGCACGTCTTCCTGATGATCGCGCTTCGGCGCGTCCGAGTCGCGCGTAAACTCGAACACGGGAAGATCTAAGAATACGATCTTAATCACGATAGGATGTTCGCCGATGTCTTTGATTTTAACGGGCGTCAACGTCAATTTATCGATCAGTATCTCGATTAGATAGATCTGTTCGTTGGAGCCGCCGAAGCAAGACATGATGCGAGGCACTTCCCACGGGGAATTAAGTCATTAAAATAGATTCGATGGAATCATTGATAATTTTTCGTTCAAGTACTTGAAGGAATTTCGTAACGAGAATTTGGAAGGTCCGAAAAACATTTTACATGTAGAATTTTTATGTCAAAAATTTGGAGGTTCGAAAATAATACGGTGGCTGGTTGACAGATGGACGATAACAGTCGAATCTCGGTTTACGTCAACGCGATAATCGCCAATTAATTCGAGTCGTACGGGTTTTATTCGCGTCGCCAACGTCGGTTTGCCGACGACCGGTCGTTCCGTTCAATTTTATGCGCGGAACAAATTGGACTTTGCCGAGAGAAACGTGCGAGATAACGATCGAAGGAAGATTAATTCAATCGACACTGTATACAAAATGTTCCCCCTTGACGATGCGTTCCCTGGATAGATTTTAAATACCATCTCGCAGTTTCTTCCACTTCCGCATATATGCGCATATGCACCGTCATCTCGGGAGAGAAAAAGATTATCAACTTACAGTCACGTACATCCCATCCACTATCTGCGCGACTCTTCGGCGTTTCTAATTCCATTGGCAGTTATTACTTAGCTCCCACAGTGGTATATACTTAAACCCGAGGGACGCCGCTAGAACCGTTACGAAAACCTGCGAGGTAGACACGACACCCTCGCAAATTCATACTTTCCGTGTGTTCCTCATTAAAAGGAGTAATTCGACGAACGAACACCCACGCATGTACCTGCAAAACGCGCGGTTTTCCTGCTCCCAGCGCTTTGAATCGGCGACTTGTTGATTTAAACTCATAGAAAATAGAATAAAAAACAGCTCTTTTCTTACATGGTGCAAAAAAAATGTATTTATTTATCTAGACTCTAGAGCAATCAAAGTTTTGCTAAAAAATAGCCTTCGAATTTCTCGTCGAGTCTATCGCAAGATTTAATTAAAAATACGTGTGCGATAATTTTATTTTTTTTTCGAGCTAAATAAAGCCTTCGAGAATCAATCTTCGCGCCGGCGATTAATAATCCTCGAAATCGACGAGATTTCTCGGCGGGGCATTTATTTCGTACATTTCGACGGGAGCTGCACCCCGAAGGGCTCTGAAACACCGTGAGTCCAAGTATGCACTAATTGGTACGGGCGCACGCACGCACACACACACGATCATTCCGAAGCGAGATAGGCGTACGAATGGGGACGAACAGGATGGACAACGGAACAGGATGAGAGATATATCCTTAACACATATCCATAGGATGTCCGTGCACGGTAGAAGGCTGCCGAGAGGCCTCGAAGTAAAATTCCGGACCCGGGCGACACGGCGGCTCGTTAAAATGCTTGTGGGGATTTTGGGCGCGGAACGCTTCTCGGATAATTGGTGATTAACGATTAAAACGAATGGACCTACGCTGACTCTCTTTCTCCCTTTTCTCTCTCTCTCTCTCGCCGCGCTGCCTTTTCCTTTTTCCTCGCGATCTGCCGTCCGCGAGAGAGCAGAGAGACCAGGGGTCTACAATACCCTCCCGGTCTTAGAGAGGTCTTCAACGTGTCACTCGTTGCTTTCGTCTCTCATGCCTCGTAACAGTGACGATCTTCTCGCTTCCTGCACCCGCCTTTTTCCCCTCGACAAAGAAGCGTCTTTTAATCGTGCGACCCGACCGTCAGGATCGCTTTCCTTCTCGTCGACTCGGTCGTTTCTTTACGAGAGCGCGCCTGGGAATCTGAACTGCCTCGGGTGTAATAATCGCGAGGGTATTCGAATGACCGGAAATAACGATCGAACGAGTGGACGTTAATTCGCCGCGGATCCTTTATGCCGGAAGGAGTTTATTTTTTCTTAAGCGCTCGCACTGTTTTTAAATTGTTCTTAAAGTATCCTCTTTTTTTCTCGCGCGATGTCGTTTGCCGCATTAAATTGCCGAATGAACATTACGTTGTTTCCTGCGATGGCAAATGTCAATTAACTGCTGCACGCTGGTGTTATCTCAAATGAGCACACGCTGTGCAAACAACAAATTTTCAAAGAATTCAACAATGCGCAATAATTACGCGTATTCAGACTAATCTCATAGCACTCTCTATCGTAATTTGAAATGTATTTACGCGAGAAACTCACGAGCGCGGGCTTAAACAATAGCAACAGTACGTGAAGAATAGTCCGTAATCAAATTAAGTGTCGCGTGTCCGCTTAAGGATTAATCACTATAATCTACAATCTTTCCACGATAGCGCGTCCGCGCGGGTACCTCTCATTTCCGGTTCCATCAATGACCGTTATCTGCGCACGTCATTGCAGGATGCATTTAAGAAGATGCATGGAATGCACTTTGCGACAGGATGAGACGCCGTCATGTAGATATTCTCTCCCTTCTCCTCTCTCTCTCTCTCTCTCTCTCTCTCTTTCGTATATTATGACCCAAATACATTACGATACCTATTTTCTGCCGCTCCTAAGTGGACGCACTGCTTATAAACGTCATGGAGAAACCTTCATCGTGCAAGACGATCCCACGACGTTATACACCAATTATTCGACTCCCTGTACGTAGGTAGGTAGGCAACTCCTCTCTCTCTCTCTCTCTCTCTCTCTCTCTCTCTCTCGATTCTACTCTTGTACATACTCGTTACAATACATGCACGCGGAGAGCAGAGCATACTTTACCGGAGTCTCGGAGTTCATCGGCAATTTGAATAATTTCCTCCTAAGAACGGTTTCTCGTTTCGAATTCACCTAACGCTGCAGTTTTTTGCATCACGACGCCCTTGCCTCTCGTCTGAATCCCTTTATAATGATACTTATATATCAAGTCAGATAAATTTTTTCCCATATACGGAAAAAAATGTGCTATTATAAGTAAATTTTAGCTGCACCTATATTACAACCTGAAATTTAGTTTTTATGTCTAAATTTTAGCTATAGTAACTAATGTTTTTAATTATAGTTTAATGGAGAATTCTGTAGCTAAAAAAATATTATTTATCATAGTTAAAATTTAGGCATGAAAACTAAATTTCAGGTTGTAATATAGGACAGCTAAAATGTAGCTACAGTAACTAATTTTGTTCCATGCAGAGAATGATTTGGAATTTTTATAATAATCGAGTAATTATATTATAAATATTTTTAGCATACGTTCGCTCTCCGCTAAAATAAAATGAATTGCATAATGCAGTGATTGAATATTGAAATATTAAAATAAAAAATAACACACACGAAAAAAAATAAAATTAGGCAATCAAGTAAAAGAATCATGCTTCATTAATTTGCACTAATTGGAATTATATAATTATGCTCTGTATATGTATCATTAATTTATCAGCATCGCAATTTTTGGAACCGTAATTTGGAGAGAAATTTTACGTCGAAAGAAACTTATCGTTCCTTCGTAAGATACTTTAAAAAGCCTGCTTGTGAATCCTGTTTGGGCTCCATCTCAGTATCGTTAATTCCTTGCACATAATTACATTTCATGGATAGTAGATGTCACCATTATTTTAATCCTTTCCCGATACTTGTATTATTTGAATTATGTTATTAAATTAACTTTTTGCATAACGTAAGTATTATTGCTAATTATCAATTAACATTTAAATCCGTGTTTCATATCCATAATTTAATTATTAATTGCAACAGAATCCGCTCACATACATTTATATGAATAGCGCAAAAGCTATGTGTAATATTATTTATACTGTCATAAACTTGTTAAAATATATAATAAAGTGCGCACAGAAAGAATTTACCTTGAAAATCGTGATAATTGAGACAAAAATATTAATAGGTATCTACCACAATAAGACACAAAATATGTTCGATTAATTTTACTATGTACATAATAACTCTTATAAAATTTTCAGAGTAAATTCTAAAAGAAAATTCTGTTCGTGCGATATTTGTTAGGCAATAAAAATAGCATCCGAAGAAAATGTGAAAATCTGTGACAGACTATCGTTGTAATTAATCTTAAGTGATAGGAATATTTCGATCTATCAACTCTCGAAAGAGAGAGAGAGAGAGCATGTCGTGCGACGCGACCCGCTCGCGGATAAAAACGAGGCGTCACGACGCGCGTTGTCGGAGTTGGATTTTCGATGATCTAGATCTGGGTAGCACCAGGAAGCCGGGATCGAAGGCAAAATTACCGGTGCCGGTGGAAGGAGGCCTCGTTCGCTCGCTTCGAGAGGTCAGAGGGCGATAGCGGTACCTTCCTCTCTGCGCGGAGAGTGGTAGGCCACTCTCGTCCTACCGCCTATCTCGCCGCGAGAATGGTGTGTAGGTACTCTCCACGCTCCAGTACAAACGTGTTTCCCCGTTGCACGCGAATGTATTCGTGCGGACGATGAGCCAGGAGAAGGTCCAGGAGTGTATTCGTGCAACGAATACCTGAGAGCAGTGTAATACCGACTGCTACGGACCAACTAGGTCTCATGGTGATGAAACGAGACGGCCCGTCGTGATGGAAGGGCCCACGGCAGCGAAAGAAAAAGAGAAGGAGATAATCGGTATATTAGAGAATACTCTCCCGCGGCGCTAGACGAAATTTGTCAAACAACCGCGGCGGATTCCAATTTGTTCTCGTGCGTGTCTCGACCACGCTGAAAGAGCCGTAGGTGGCACGCCGAGAGATTATTTCGCCGAACGATGAGCGGATAGTTATCCCATATCGGGGCTACTACCAACCCGGGGCCGCTCGGTCTCGATACGATACTATTAAAAGGTTAAGAATTGATGTTGCCATGCTTAACCCCTCGGCCGTTGCGCTCGGTTTCACTGAGGCTGAGATAAAATAATCCTATGCAACGCGGCCTATTTATTATATGCATAGTAGTTAATTAGATGGTATTCACGTCGTTATCGATTGATAAATTGTGCAAAAAAGTAATGCGACGCAAAATGTAATACAACTTTACGGTAGTAAAATATAATGACGTATGACATATACATATGGGAAGGTTAAAAGGAACGTGCAAGGTCTATCTCGTTTCTCACGCT